AAAAAAAGAAAGAAGAGAAGGAAAAGAAACAAATGAGTCACAGAGGACGAGGATACGTTTTGGTGCGACGCTCAAGGGGCAAAACTTGGTGGATCTCGGAAACGCGGTGACCAATTTTAATTCAATATAGTCCCGCGTGAACACGAGAACAACGCACGGGGGAAAAAAAAAGGAACGACGGAGGAATGAAGAACAAAGGTTCATCAGCGTTATTGCTGTAAAAAAAAGAAAGAGAGAGAGAAAACGCCGGTATGGTTGTTAGCGATAAATTTACTCGAGAAGCCGTACTTGTCGTAAATTTTTTATACTTGTAACATTTTGTTGCGTAAATACGACGACTTTAGTGAAGTCAACAGTGCAATCGTTACACGTTTTTTAGCGTTAATTTAAGAGGATCGGATAGAGAAGAATAATGTTTACCTTTTTGCTTATAACGAAAGAAGCGTTGTTTCTGTACGAAAGAGAGAGTGTGAGTGTGAAAGAGAAGAGAGAGAGAGAGAGAGAGAAAGAGAGAGAGAGAGAGAGAAAGTATGCAACACTATGAAGGAAATCGCTATCTCTATTGATATAGAAAAGTATTGTTTTTCACGTTGTTAATTTATTTGATCAATCTATCGATTACTTTTATCACTCGTTGCCATCGAGTCACGTTATTAACTTTAATTGTTCGAATCTAGGCGTTCGTTTATCGTCAATATTAATACATATCAATTTTCCCGATAACGATAAATCACTGCCTTACCACAATTCGAACTGATAGTGCAAATGTAAAAGCCTGCTTGATTGACAAAAGAAAGTGCAACGAATGTTTATTTTCAAGTTACAAATCATGGATATATAAATACGTGTGTTGTTAGAGGTAGCGAATTCTTTCTGAGATTATTATGTTTTGTTGTAAATTGATGAAATTGTTTTTTGACGAGTACACGTGTAAATACAATTTTATGTGCTGTAAGATCCACCTGTTGAATATTTCTATTCATAATTTTTCGGAATATTTCTACGAAATTTATTTTCGTTGAAGGAACATTGTAAGGCAGTGACTTAAAGCATTAAAATATATGCATAACGTCTCCATCTTGGTAAAACGAAACCTTGTGATTCAGTGCAGTTTTCACCCTTGGGATTCATTAAAATTATGGTATAAAATGATGAAACATTGAATTTTCATTTTATCATAATTGCACGATATTCCTTAAAAAATAGTATGATCACATACAGTTAATATATCTACTATGCTCTTTAATGCTTCACAAAATTTACCAAATTTTATTCCATATCTTTCATTGGAACACAATATATAAAGGATCATAAACATTTCTTGTTTATATCTTAATTCACAACTTAAGTTTGAAATACATATATGTTATATTATTTCATTATTATTATGTTATTTGTAAATTTCATTTCATCCTTTATAATTAACATTTAATGTTGGGTAATTTGAATTAATTTGTATGAGCTTGAAGTCGTATCCAAAAATCCTAATGATAGAAAATATTTAAAATTGGATGAAAATCAGCTTTTGCCAAATAACCATGTTCCACATATAAATACAAAGATTGGATTGTGCGCAAAAATATTTTGTATAGAGAAAATATCTATATTAATTAACAAAATCTAAAAATACACAAATGCTGTGTATGTAAAAATGCTTTAACGATGATGCATTCAAATCATTGTGGAAATTATTGGTTTTCATTCAAATTTCAGTAAATATTAACTCTCTACTTTCAATGTTCAAAGAAATATTATTATTTTATTATTTATTATGTTAAAAAAACTAATATTTTAAAGAATAATATTTAAACAATTACCTTCTTAATCAAAAATAGAGCAACCAACATGATAATAATTTCATAATTTTATTTCTGTTGTTTTATATATTACGTAAATCATAAATATATTTTCTACAATAAAGAAAAAGTTGCAAAAGAGATAAAGAAAATGAAACGAGAAATTACACGTCATTCTCAGTGGTGCCATATAAGGCTAAAAGTGAGGTTAATAGTAAGGTTAATGATAACCTCTTTAAGGAAATTGTTTTCCTTATACTTCATTGTACATGAATCAATGCTTTTCCAAACGAATGAATTGAAATCCACAAATATAAAATTAGTTCCATTAAAAATGATCAATTCAGTGCATTTAAGAACATTAAAAAAATTTGAAACATCTAGAATCCTTTGTTTTATCATATATGTATGTATAACATATGTATGTATAACATAATAATATCACACTTAAATTCCCATAATTCTTAATTTCCATAACTTTCCAATTTTTCGACTCTTAACAAATTGAAATCAAACAAAAAAACCACGAACAAAATCAAACAAAAAGCACTTGACATTTCTAAGATATTAGGTTAGGTTTATCGACTTCGATGATTCCCACGCAGCATGATGTAGAAGTTCGGTGGACGATATACTAACCTTGAAGCAGTAAACTCAAGCAGTCATTGGATACAGTTTGTGTTTGTCATTCTTACACTTGCGCTTGTGACATACGTGATACGCGGCTATATAAGTGATAAATTCAAAAGCAGACTGCAGATGTAACGTGTTATTCGAGGAGGCTTGAGCCCTTGTTCCGTTTTAGTAAACGTTTACCGTCGGAGTGAACAGTTGTAGACACGAACCATGATCTTGCGATTCGCAATTTTCGTCGCTTTCTTGATCCTAACGATCGAGGCGAAAAAGCATCAGCAATTCTCCGACGATGAACAATGGCAAGAGTTCGAAGAGTATTTAAAGTGGAAAAAAGCGAAGGAAATGCGCGAAAATGGCCCACGAGAAATTAAATACGAAAAACCTCGGCATCACGAATATCATCACGATATGTACAAATCGTCTGAAAGGGATCAACAACTTCCCGTCGAAAATCCGCCACCTATCGATCAGGCAGCTTTAATGGCAAGATACATTGTTAATCAAGCTGGTAAGAAAAGTGCACTTTTATCACGATAATAATTTCTTTATATACTAACAAGTAATATTACAATTCTTGCTTGTTTTAAAATTATGCAAACAACTACTTTAGCTTTTGAACAAAAGCGTTGCATATCAGTATAAATTATGAATCATTTAGAAATCAACGAAACGAGTAGCAAGAATAACTATGCATAATGTACGTAGATAAGCAATTTGTTTGTACTGTAAGGCAAAAGTTAATATTAGGATTCTTGGCGATTTCCCAAATTTCCAATGTATAAGTAAACGAGCATCATATTGCTCAAGTTGAATAAATGTTTTTATTAATAATTGCGAAATACTGGATTGTAATTCAAATTTTATATTTATGTTATTGAATGTCTTGTCGCGTAATGGAAATTCTTGAGTAAAAAATTCTTATTCAAAGTTCAATATTGAAAAGGTCACGATCGATTGATAGAGCAAATAAATAAATATTATTACGTTTAAAAAATATTTTGTCTAAATATGTGTATTTAGATAAAGTCATTTGTGCAAAATATTATAAATGCATTATTTCCTTATACAAGTAATTTTATTATATTTATTATGTTCAACTGCCTTCGAAATGAAATTGTATATATATATATTTTTTTTTCTTTTTTTTCTTCTCTTAAATATTTCGAAAATATATACGTATAATTTTCCATTTTCAAATAATCGTGCATGTAATGTTCATTATTAATGATCATGCGTATGTATGTAGTATTTTTCGTTATGTATTTATAATTACATCACATTAAATATTAATTAGTTTTATTTCGTATAATATTAATCAATAATTACCAATACATTTATATATGTATACAGATTGGGTATCCGTGGCGACATTAAGCATAAGAAAGGATGTCGAATCATTCCCAGCTGTAAATTTAATTTCCTATACCGATGGACTTTTAGGAAATGGATCAGGAGTACCATATCTTTACCTCACACCCTTAGATTTTACAGCTCAAGATCTTGCAGTAAGTATTTTTATAATATTGTATTATTAATTGTAAATAAATTATATCTCGTCTGTATTTATTGTGTACATGTACTTAAATATTTTATCCCAATCGCAAACATACACTTGATGTTATCTTATGTTGATAAGATAGTGAGCAATATCATTGTACTAATCAATTTATCTCTTTGATTTTAATTAATTGAAAATTTTAATTATTTTTTTCCCATTTTTATTGTAGCACGTAGCAATAAGTCAATGAATTATATTTTTAACCGTAATTAAAAATGAATTCCATTTTGATTACAGAAAGATAATCGTGCCTCGTTATTAATGACATTAGCCCAAGGAGACTACTGTAAAAACAAACAATGGGATCCTATGGACCCGCGATGTGCTAGAATTCTTTTAACCGGCAAGATCAAACCAGTTAGTAAATTTTTTATTTATAATTCATAGAATATTTAAATTAATAGAATAATAATAATACTGTTTTTTTTACAGTTAAAAAATGAAAGTGCGGAAAATGAATTTGCCAAAAGAGTATTCTTCACGCGTCATCCAAAATTAGTTAACATGCCAGCAAGTAAGAATTTTTTAATCAAATAACATTAATTACCATAACGTCAATTAAAAATAAAAAATGTTACTACAGAATATTAATCTTAAAATATTAAATTAAACTTTAAATGTTCATTGTTACAGATCATCATTTCTATTTCGCAAAATTGAAGATAATTTCAATTGTGGTATTAGATACATTCGGCGGTCCAAAATATGTCTCCGTAAAAGATTATTTACATCCACCAACAACGAATATTACTGAAGAATTTAAAAAACACTTTCCTTTAGAATTGTCTGAAAATAGATCTCAACAGGAATATAGTCCAATTTCTAACATGTTACATCCTGTGATACAACATGTGTGAATTAGCAGAATCTTATAAATGTAAAACCTCCAACAATTTTCTACAACTTTCTATATTTCACAGCACAAAATTTTCACGCTGTTACTAATTTATATTGAAATTATACGGATATAATAAATAAATAAATTAAAATTATATGATACAAATTTACAAATATCTGTCCAATGTACAATAAAAATTATTGTTATGTTTTTGTACAATAAAAATTATTCCAATGTACAATAAAAATTATTATGTTTTTTTGCAAAATTATTATATTCTTTTGTTATTTTGTAAAAAAGAAGCAGAATGTTATTTTTGTAAGCTCAAAATACACAATATACATCATTATCTTATATATATTATATTATTTTATTATCTTATATATATTATATTATTATATTATTTTATTATATATATTATTTATTATTAATTATATTTTTAATGACAACTGGGAAAATCCCTAATATTATCGCAATATAACATGTTATAGTACTGTGTGCTACAAAAATATGCAGAGTTTTTAATTTTAAACTCATAGTAATTTTTATAAAAATTTATTTAAAACAATAAACCCCGATTAAAGGGATGTACAAATTTTATGGTACTCATAACTTAATTTAAGATTTTAAATATGTACATCTTTGTAATATAAAAATTACGTGTTCTTAAAGTACATTACAAAGAGTTAAAATATTTTTTAGTACAGGACGTTATAAATTGCAGTAGCTTTTGTAGGTTTGCTTGAATATTTGAGCTACTTTATATTGAATTACGAATTATTTATACACATTTTACATAATTTACTTAAAAATATATAATATTTGTTATATATTAATATTTATTTTAAAAAGAAATATTTAAAAGAATTCATGATTTGATTACAGATCGCAAATAGCATTAATATACAAGATTTAATTACAAAAGCTTACCAATTCATTTTTGCTATGTTTTCTTTGTAATAGTTTGTGTACTTTTTCCATGAGTTAGACTGGATGAGCTCAACATAACAGAAATCTGTTCTGGTAATGGGCATGCAATTAATAAAAGTTCTTCTGAATTATAATATTTACCCAATATCTGATATAATTGTGTAAATGCAGCACAAACATTATTTTTTACTGGTCTAAACAGAATAAATTCTGTTTCCTTATTGGAGAGATACAGTTGCATAAGTTGTTGAATTTCAGGGCATTTAAATTTAATTATCCGCAATACCTCACTAATTGCTGCTGCAACATCTTGAGGATTCCCAAGAGCATGTTCTGGAGATGCATCTGGGATATTAGTATGTAATTTCTCTTTTTCTAACAGTTTTAAAATTGGATGTATCAATAAAAATGTCGCAAGCTGTATAAGACGTTGACAAGCATATTTCAATTTATTATCCACATGTTTCCTTGAATCTATTAGTTGCTCCTTCATTTGAGGTGCTCCTTCCAATAGAAATTCTAATAGCGCATTATTTGACAATGTAAAAAGTCTTGAACTCTTTTCTAATAAACTAAATGCTGCTGTCTTAACTTTTGAAAAATCCAAACTATATTCTTTTATTGTGAAATCCACTTGAAATGGTGCAATTTGTTCTCTTAAAATGAGTAAGTGTTTTATTTGAAAAAGTTCTCCATCTAAAGGTGATGCTCTTTTCTCTATTTCTTGCTTCGCATTTTCTATACTTTGGACACAAAGAGATATTGCTTCCTGACTCAAAGACTGGAAGACAGATCTATCTACGCACCTGTATAATCTTGATAAACACACTAATGTTCTACGAACAGTAGGATACCACATTCCATGGAGATCTGCTGGTGAATTTCCCATATGTGTCTTTTGATAGATAGAATCCATTTCTATGTGATTTCTAGATACTGGTTCTAAAATATTATCATCATTAGATGAAACAGATATTCTTTTCATTTTTGTCTGTCTAGATTCTTCTCTTATTGACTCTGCTATATCTTCCATCATTTTTAATTTTTCTGGATACGCCAAGTCACCTGGTGATGGATTATAATTCAAAACATCAGACTGAAGGTAAAGATGTGCACGGAATACTAGTCTTTCTTGTACATCATGTAATAACTGCAGACAAATGTTACCAAATCCCTCTAAAGGTTCAAAATTGTTTTGAACATGTTCATCCAGCATTTCAATCCTCAAAATGCAACAAATTTCAGCTAATGTTTCCAAATGATTAATATGAATTATGAATGGCCTGAGTGTATCATACAGAGAAGTACATAAACTTTCAAGATATGCCGTTAATCCATTAGATGATTTAGAGAAGAATTCATAAAATAACTTATATTCATCCATTGATGCATGTAACAATAGTGCACATGAATTTCGTACCAGACTACAGTGATCACCATTGTATTTTTCTTTCACTGACATTAAAGATTTTTGTACACTACTACCTAATACAAGTCCTCTTTGGCTCCAATAACATTGATGGCATTCAGATAATAAGCTATCATATTCTTGCCTTTTGTAAGACTTAGCTTCAATTTGTTCTATAACTGGTCTAGCTTTTGACAAAATGGTTTGAAATCTACCATAGAAAAGGGCTAAAGCAGCATCAGCATTATCTTGCGACTCATCATTATCTTTTAAATTCAATATACTTTCTGTAGTCTTGCTAAATAGGTTAAAAATATAATTTTGTATCATAGATATTGCTTTAGATTGACAGTGCTTGTATTTGATCAAATAGGTATTGCTCTCTTTAAATGAAGGATTATTCTGAACAAAGTCTATGTTGGTATCAATTTTATCTAATATGTTAAAAAACATCTCACTGTTCACTGATAATGTAGGTGCTTCTAATTTTTCCATCATCATATCGACATCCTTGAAATATTTCACATATTCCGTGATGTTCTCTATGGTAGAATTTAATTTTCTTTGATCAGAATCAAGCTGCTCACTAGCATCATAAAGGGATATTGTTTTATCAGAGACTTCTGAATACTGTTTATATAACATAGTGAAATCTTCTAAAGCTTCTTCTATTTGAAGACAGAGTTCTTGACATTCTTGCCGTCGGGTTTGAAGTTCATTTAAATATAACATATACTTCATATCTTTCCTGTCCATACACTTCTTTTCTAGAGTGGCATAATGCTTTAACAGATCTTGACATCGTTCTATTTGTACTGATTTCATAGCTTCTTTGTTTGTGCATGCAGTACCATTTGCCTCTTCAGTTTTAAGATTGTTATCAGGGAACAATTCTTCTTCCAAATTTAATAAACATTCTTTTTGATAATCGGTTAACGGTGCCAGAGAATCTTCTGACAGATCCCACTTGGCTAAGTTATTTGGAATGTTTTTCATCTTTGACATGATTCCTTGTCAGTGAAAACAAACGTTACGAGGCAAATATGATTTTAAGAAAAGTCGTATGACAGCATATACCGCGCACATACCGTTTCGTGATATAAATTAAAAAATTCCCTTCAAAAAAGTGACACCGCAGCAATTACAAATTATAGTCGTGAAGTTGATAATAATTTATCTATCGACTGCGGTACAGGATGTCCACCGTATGAAATAATCTACACCTTAGAGTGTAAAAAATTTTAAAATTCATTACTGTAGATTATGATATAAATAACGTAAATATTCCTACGATATTAGTTATAGTTCAAGTAAAATATACTGTTATAATTAGAACAAAATGTTTTACAAGAAATTTATATTAATTAGTAAGAAGTTTAAAATTTTTTTATGTAATTGCAGTTAAAATCAATGTATAATTAATATTCTTTGTTCTCTCTTATTTCTGTTATATCAATAAAAAAGAATTAATTTAAATACATGGAATTTTTAAAGTATAGAAAATTCTGTCGTACACTTGAAAACGAGACAAAATAATTTTACGACGTAGGTACTAAGAATCGGCTAGTTTCTTCCATTGAAAACAAGATTTTATTTCTTCGTATCATTGCATTCGATCCTTGTAGGTTTGTATCAAAAGAAATCTGAAAATATCTGTGTGATCTTGTTAAATTAATAGTGTTTATGTAATAATAAGTACTTTTGCTAGTAATTGTAGTATAATACATGTAGTATTACCATGTATTGCATGTTATTATGTTTGATGACTTAACCTACAAAAGTCACGATATTAATGTTGCAGAATGGCTCCGAGATACGAATTAGCTGTTGGTCTTAACAGAGGCCACAAAACTACTAAAATTCGCGTGGCAAAAAATAAGAATGAAAAGAAAAAAACAGTGTGCGTTCTGCCAGCAAGATTAAAAGGGGTTAGTATACATTAGTAAAAACAAACATTACCTATTCTGCAGTGATGTTCCAATATTGCTATCTGATTTCTGTTTGTATTTTATAATTGTATAAATTATAGAATATAGAACAATAAAAATAAGTAATAAACCGTGAAAGTCAATAGTAAATACCATAAATATTTTAATTTCAGAGACAAACTAAACACAGTAAATTTGTGAGAGACTTAATAAGAGAAGTAACTGGACACGCACCGTATGAGAAACGTGCAATGGAATTATTAAAAGTGTCCAAGGATAAGAGAGCTTTAAAATTTTTGAAAAGAAGAGTAAGGATGTCAATTCATTCTATGTTACTCAAACTGTTCTCTATTTCAAATGAATATGTGATCTGTAATGTATGTTCTAATGTATCTAATATATTCTATTCTTAAATTTTCTAGTTGGGCACCCATATCAGAGCCAAGAGGAAACGAGAAGAACTAGGAAATATTCTCGTACAGATGAGGAAAGCAGCTGCACATCACTAAGTTACTTTTACTTAGTAATTATTAATTAATTTTACTCATTATCATTACACATAATTTTTACAATAAATCTGTAATAAAAAATATGTGTGAAAATCTATTACTTTTTATTTCATGTAAAAAGTAGTCCCTATGTATTCTCATTTGTAAAATAATTTGAAATAACAGATTGGAGAAAATTAACGAGTGAAAGTGTAGGTTAGAGCTGCGAACCTACTGACTTTGTGTCTTATGGTTTAAATATAATTATGACAATAATTCAAAGAAAGTGAATAAAATTTAATGATTGTTGCGTTTATAACTAATGTTTAAAAAAGCCTACAATGAACTACGATACAATTAATTTTCTATGACAGTTTTAGAGAAAAATTTCGTACCACATAACCTATTTCTAAATAGGTTGTACGTATTATTTACATCATTTATTCAGTGTTATGTTAAATATCAGTTATGAATAGTATAACTATGTTAAGTTCGCTAAAACAAATTAAACTTCGTAAAACGAATTATATATTAACAAGGAAGTGGTTTATTAAGAAATTTGCACGATACAACAATTTAGATATTTTCAATTTAGATAATTTTCAACGGCATCAAACAGTGCATACAACTGTTACTCAATTAGAAATTTCTAAAGAAATTGAAAAGAAAACTACTGATTTGAAACACTTTCGAGATTTGTCAAAATCTGGACCATCACTCAAAGATTTTTTAATACCAGAAACTGAAATTCCTAATGAACCAATTAGTGTACCAAATATTCCTTACATACAAAGTATTGATGGCTCTGGTCAAAAGGGTAAGTAAAGATCAAATGTTAAAAGACAATGATATTAAAAAAAATTGTAAACCTTATTTACAGTATTTTTTATTCGTTAAATTGTATTCTTTTTAGTCTACTTTGAGGTTTACGGTTGCCAGATGAATGTAAATGATACGGAAGTAATCTGGTCTATTCTAAAATCTCATGATTACAAAAAAGTAGATAATATAAAAGAAGCTAATATAATTCTGATTATCACGTGTTCTATTAGAGATAATGCAGAGCAGAAAGTATGGAACAAGTTAACTGATTTAAACTGTATTAAGAAAAAAAATAAAAAATTTCCAGTAAAAATTGGTCTATTGGGTAGAATTATTAATGATAATTAATTTATGATATTTTATAATATTGCAAATTTCATTATATATATATAT